CTTCCCGACTTGCGAGGGCCTGAAGGGAAACGAACTGTCAAGCGTGCGCGCACCATGGCGTGATCGGACTCAAGTGGTGTGCCCAGAAGGAACGGACAGTCTTAGATTGTGGCTCTCCACCGGTGGCTGATGGCCACGTGGTCCAACTGGATCCACGGTTGATTTGTAGTTGGCGGCCGCCAGGTTACGCGGTGCGAACGTTTATGTTGAAAGTTCGTACTTGCCAGAAACAGTTCGTGATCAGCACACAGCTGAAGGAGTCGATCTCCGTTGTCTGTGCGGCGAGCATCGACTCCGAATCGACCACCCAAATGTGATTCCAAGGAGCTCAGACGACCCACTTGAGCATTCAAATCGCTTGCAAGGTTCACAGTGTCAGTGCTTTTTGCCTGACGAATGAGCCCGGATAGCTCTCGATAGAAAGTATCCTTCTTCGCATCAGAACTGTAGTCCGTTGGGGCATAAGCCAACACGACAAACAGGCACCGCTTTTTATGTCGCGAGACATTGAGCTTGATTGAACTGGATAAACGGACGGCGCAGAGACGACTGTTCACTGGGATCCAATCCAGCAAAGCGCGTTTAGCTCTGGGGCTGAGTTTTAGACCAAAATGATTGAATTCCTATCCAGCTACATGCTAGTGAATTGATGTCGTAACGAGATACACCAACGATTATCTACACCGTCACACAGGTGCTAATCACTAAAGAGTTGTGAATAGATGCAAGTGATAAAGTTGTGTGATTGATATACCTAGTGTGGAATAGGCATACCACAATCTTCTGATTAGTTAAAGTTCCTTAAAGTATTGTTTTAATACTTTTTCAGAGCGAAATCCGTGTTCGCCCCGTAAATTTCCATCAAGAGGGAGTACGCTGCTCAGTTAGTTTTATGGCTGCTGAACTAGAGGAACACAGAACAAATGGTGAATTATTTGCTGAGGCTGTACTGCGCATCCATAAATGACATGCCAATTTGGTTTTAGCGGGAGACCCGCGGAGAATCCCGTTGAATCTCTCGTTTATGATGTTCGTAATTATCTGATGAGCCACAAGAAGGACGAAACCAGTCGTGGACTGTTGAAGAATTTTCAGCAACCTTACGAGTTATATATTACGTCGATAGGAATGTGTACTTATCAACACAAAAATGCTGCCGTTAATGCGCCTATCACTGCTGAGTGAACGTAACTCAGGAACGGCTTTCAAACCAAAGCTATGAAGAATCTCGTTTTCGAAGATTCTGCTGTACGCTTGTGTGATTCCAGTTATCGACTTTTGCCGTTTCATGTGGTGTTGTTGTTTTGGAATCAGTTGATTTCCGCAATGGTTCGGGAAGGAACAAGTGCGAAAATCACGAAAAATCCCTCGGATGTGCAGTGACCGACAGGAGTTTCATCCGTTTATAATGAAATCGAACATGAAAAACTCTCCACTGTCATAAAAATTAGCCATTTCAGTTGTTTTTGGCCCGATTTAACGGGGAAATTGATACTTGTTGAGTGTTTGACTACTAGTGAACATTCTGAGCTAATTTACTGGCGAAAGTCATTTCACATCGCATCTTGGAATCCACTAGCTTGGGATGATAACATTAGTTTCACTGTCACTGTTTAGACGTTATCATCACAAGTTGTTTCTTTTCAATCAACCGTTCTCCCAGGGGTTTCCGCTGTGTAGAAATACAGTCCCGTATGTTCGGCGTGCGATACTGTCTGTTAGTGCCAGTGCTATTATGGTGGATTTCGGTGTGGATGACAACCTTGTAGCACGATTCTGTGGTTGTTAAGCAACCCATGAACCGAGTTCACTCAGTGCCTACTCTTACCTCTGCCTACCTTCGGTGTACCAAATAACCCGCCATACTGGATATGTTCTACCACTCGTTTATGCGTGTGTGCTTAGTCAAATGCACAGTGAACTTCTAGAAGGAGATTTTTGGCTCGATCCTCAAGAGGTGCTTTACAGCCACCTGTTTCATTTGTCGTAACACGGGGATGAATTTGTATTCGTCTGTTCTATGTGACTACGCTTCCTGACATCGGCGGGTCAGTCAGATCGATAGTCAGCTTGTTAGAGTTGAGCTTGACTGCGAGTCCTGCACGCTTGAAGCCGCTTTCAAACTTTAAGACTTGAGGTATGTAAAATGGAGCGGATTGCAGTTTGGATTTCCTACCACACAAATGAGATACACTGTGCGTCGTATTCGAAAACCTCAACACATTCATCATGACCATGCTCGTTTTTAGTTAGACTGATGAATACAGTGATTCAAACGTAATCATTCCTGTGATTAGCCGTTGGTTTTACCTACTAGCCTGGTAATAGGAAAGGTGGGATGGTAAGTTACAATTGCGCTTATATTTCAGGTTATGTCCCACCCTCTAGCGACAGACCGATTTCTAAACATGATACTGAAAACGGTCTCCTTCAGTGAAAAAAGGGAGTTCGTTCCACCACCAGTATAACCATGAAGGAATAACTTGAAATTTCCATTCCATATTTTAAGTAATGTGATCGCCACCCGGCGCGGAATCATTAGCATACTCGCCCATTTCATTTGGATCGCGGGCTACTGATGAAGTGGCAGCTTTCACATATGTCTTCCTGTTGATCAGGATTGCGTAATTTGAGAACAGTCTACTTACACAT